GGGCCCTCATTTTGCAGAGAATGAATGTCATTTAAAGTTTGTAGTGAATCATCCTAATTGAACAGGATGGCCCAAATTCTTTACATACACTGTCTGTAATATATTTTTACTAGAGCCTCCAAAAAATCTCATCCTCTTCATTTTACAAGTGAGGAAGATAAGGCTTAATGAACTCATGATTTCATGTCTCAGGGTCACAGAAAAGTAGAATTCAAATGCAGGTCAGTTAAGTGCCAAAAATCTTCTCTTTAGCTCATGTATGCTAATTTTCAAATATAAGCTATGTCTCCATTTTATTGAATTTGGAATGTAATTTTCAGTAATTTATTTAAAGTAACTAAGGAAATCTAAGGGAATTACTTAGAATGGTGATTTTGTAGGTTAGTGGCGGGCAAGTGGGGAGTGGCAGCAGTTACACTGTCATGTGTCTTAGAAAATAACAGGTAGTATATAAAATTCATAAATCAAGAAACAATGCAATGCACACTTAGATATATCCAACAGAAACTCTTAAAAGTAGTCATTCTGGGGAGGAAGGCTTATGGCAAAAGGGATAGCAATTGATTTTCATTATGAGCTCTTTGGAGCTTTGAGATTTTATTTAGTATATGCTACGATTTAACAAGGTTTTGCAGAAAAACTTATAAAAAATGATCTATAATATGTCTTTCCTAGCAGTCTGCAGATAACCTAGGAAGAAAAACAGGAGCAATTTTCTTGGCCTATATCCATTATTGTTTCTAATAGTGTGAAATTGTAGTAAAAGAACACCAATTGAGCAACTTTATTCAACTATATGTTCAAAGCCTTGTTCTAGGGTTTATAAGAGATTTTTTAAAAAGGCAGATGCAATTTGGTCCTAGGATACAATGTGCTACAGTGTAGTTGAGGGCACTCACAATGAGGAAGATGCCTAGATGGGTAGAAACAGGACTCACATTTTATCTATCTACTCCACCTACCTTTTTTTATGAAAAAATACATACTATAGAAAAGATAATATAGTTATGAGAGTTCAGTGGATAGAAAAATGATATTTACTTACCAGAATCAAGAAATACTTCCTGAAGCAGACAATTTGAGTGGGCCTGGAAAATACAAAGGGATTTTTATGAACAAAAATGTGATGGGACTGGCATTAACATGTTTACTGTTCAAGAAATTCATGTTTGTTTTTCTGTTAAGACATTTATATTCTACATTTAGAGAGATTCACATGTACCCTTATAGGATGAACCATAGGCATGATCCCACCAATCACCCTCCCTCCATGCATCCTCCCCCCCCTTTCCCCATATTCTTGGGCTAAAATTGGGTTATAGTTTTCCTATGAAAGCTATAAATTAGTTTCATAGCAGGGCTGAGTACATTGGATACTTTTTCTTCCATTCTTGAGACACTTTGCTATGAAGAATATTTTCCAGCTCCATCCATGTAAACATGAAGGAGGTAAAGTCTGTGTTAACCAGTTGGATGAAAGTATTTCAAATTGTATATAGAAACAACACTCTGTACCCCATGATAGTATTAATATACACAGCTATGATTTAATTTAAAAAAAAGAAAGAAAGAAATTCATGTTTGGAGCTCATTTTAAAAAATGTTTCTATTGTATAAAAATCCACGTAAGCTAGATACAAATCTAAAATGAATTTTTAAAAGATTATTTTCTCAACTAAGCACTTAAATGTAAATGCTGTTATCAAGGGTATTTTTATTAAAACTACTTTCAACTTGACTCATTCTTCAGAATCATAATGAGAAGTGAAATACAATCCCATCTATTCATCAAATGTGGGAAAAACCTAAAGACAAATCTGGAGATCACATGGATTTTGTAGCTATTTTTGGTTTTTAAATAGGTTTTCTATGTCCTCAGGAGTCTGTTTCGCTTCCCTCTTCAGTGTAACTTACATGTTTTAGTTTCCTTGGACTGTAATACTTAGTTGCGGGCCAATTGCTGAGACTCAGTGGGGCGATATTTTAAAGAATCTTCAGTTTGAATCTTGACATCTTTGCTCTCTGGCCTAGCTGTTCAGAGCTTTGTGTTCTGACTCAAAGTCAGAGAGACATTTGTGACAATAGGGAAGAACACAGATTCTTAACTTTCTAGAAATTACATCAAAACTATATGACTAATAAGTAAACAAACATCATAAGCACAAAGTAAACATGTTACTTTTTATATATTGAAATCATTTAGACTCTTTCACGTGGGGCAATTGTGCTAATGGTGGAGGACTGTCCATCATTGAAGATGCCCGTGAGCACTGATCATTCTCCATTTAGGAAAGGTTGCAGAAGTCTTTATTTTACACTAGTCTCCATTTTGTCAGGTACAATTTTAATGAATGACTTACTGTCAGAAGTTCTAGACCATTGGCCGGGAACAGTGGCTCACAGCTGTAATCCTTGCACTCTGGGAGGCCAAGACAGGTGGATTGCTGCCTTGGAGTTCAGGCACAGCCTGAGCAAGAGTAAGACCCTGTCTCTGCTCAAAATAGAAAGAAACTTGTCAATCAGGTGGCAGGTGCCTATAGTTGCAACTACTTAGGGAGACTGAGGGAAGAAGATCTCTTAAGTCCAAAAGACTGAGGTTGCCGTGAGATATGATGATGCCATGGCTCTCTATGCAGAGCAACAGCCTGTCTCAAAAAAAAAAAAAAGAAGTTCTAAAGTTCTAGATCATTATATTATACTTTGCAAAAGAGTATTCTATATTTTTTTCTAGAGCAAAGTAAGAAAAACACCTTATACTTTAGAGTTTCTAAATGTGATCTTAATGTTTACAAGGACATTAGAATGTTGAATCCTGCAATGTGGGGTTATTTGCTTTACACATGTAAAGAACTGCATTAATTTAGAAAAAATTGTGTATTAAATTGGTTAATTTAATATATATGGTTTAATATCTGTAGTGTTTTTTTTAGTGTTAAATCCTAAACTCTAAATAATTATCTTTCACTGTCCCAGACTAAACTTTTAAATGTCTTTAAAGTTATAAAAATCTTTAGGCATGTGAAAAGCATAAAAAGTATAAGAATAAAGCAAAATTCACCCCTGTTTTTGTGACAGTCAGATGTGGGTGATATTAAAGACTAGCTAAGAGCGTGACGGGTACTACATGTTCACGCCTTAGTAGTTGGATGACTTCGGGCAAATTACTCCATCTCCCTGCACCTCCTCCTCAAGACTAAATGAGATAATAAAGTTCATATCTCAGAGCTGGGCAGGTAGGCAGTATTGAATATTCTTGTTATTATTTCTTGTTTTGTTCTCTTTTTGCCATTGCTGTCATTGTGAGGTCTTTGGCCATTGAGTAGAACAAAGGTGACTACCCATAGTAGAAACTGAAAAGCATTAGACCTTTCTCTTACCTATTTGAGGTAGTTGTCCATAGAATTAAAAGGCAAAGAACCCATTTTAATCCTGGGACAGCAGGAAAGCATCTTTGTCTGTTCAGAAGCTGTCTCACAGGTAACTTTAGACCCTTGCAATGAGGCAGCTGCATTCCTGATTCTGAGAAGTTCACTGCTGTGGGTCTGCAATGTTAAGCAGTAATTCCTAACAGTCCCCCAACGCATACTCAGGTCTCAAGGAGCTAACTGACGACCACCTTCTCATTGTGTTCATTATTCTCATCTTTCAGTAGCTAGGTAGTCTCTATAAATGCCAGTGTTGCTGTAGTAAATTATTTGGGATGATAATAGTGACACCTATAACTTCTATTCATTGAGTAGTGACTGGACAACTAAGAGCTTTTCATACATTATCTTGTTTAATCCTAACAACTACTTCAAGACTGTTATCATCCCTGTGTTATAAATGAGGAAACTAAGATTTAGTCGGGATCTGTGTTCCATAATAAGAATTTGGATGCTGGTCTGTCTCACTTGTGAATCTGAGCTCGTGGCTTTGCTTTAGCTTTGCTGACTTTGTTTCATGATGACCTTATAGCCCCATTTGCTCATTTGCCTACAATGTGCTCCTAAGGTGTACTTTCCGTTACATTAAGTTCCCTGAGGGTGTTTCCCTTGGAAAATGAGTGTTCACGTAAGGCAGTAACTTCTCTTGTTCTTAAATTTTAGGAATGTAACTGAAATGTTATCTAAAGCCAAGTAGTACTCCTGAGATTATAAAAGGATTATTCCTACAAAAAAATATTAGAAGCTAGGACAAACCCCTTTTAATTCATCTGGGTGTTTGTTTTGGCATTGGCTTTTTAGCCCATACAGACTTCTCAAACTGGAGACATCCTTGCTGATTCCTTTAAGAAACTTTTAGGAGGTTTGTTATTGTTAATGATAAAGCTACATTTTGATATCTTGGTTTCTTTGACTCTCTCGAACGTTCTATAGGTCTGTGGAACCACATAAGAACTTTCTTTCTTCTGGACATGCCAAAGCTACATTAGATAAACCTAGTAAAAAGAGGCTTAATTATTTCATAGAATAAATAAAAAGAATTCTGGTATAGTTGGATAATAAATGATACGGTGGGGAAGTCTGATGGTGATGGAGAAGGTATTGATATCTTGTTTTCTGTGATATCAAGAATATCAAATCCTTCCTTAAAGATGAATTGTTATAATTTTGGAGAATATGGTGCTATAAAGTATTTTGTTAAATGTCACTTTTTTAATTCATGTAGAAGCTGAAAATAATTGTCAGTGTCCTTGAATGGAGGCTAATAGGTTAAAACTTTTACCTAGGGAATTATCAATAAATGGTATAAAGCATGTTGCATTGTGATAAATTAGTTTCCTTATTTTTTCATTGGAAATATAAGTGAACCTTTATGGTCCAATAAGGAACAAATGGCTTCTGTGTGCTCCGCCTCTTTTTTTTTTTTTTTTTTAAGTTGTTTGACCAAGAGGGAGGATCATTGGCACATCAGCTAGCTGTTCACTTTAAATTTTGACCATTGCTTCTCCTTGGGACCCTAATGATGGGCTCTCTGATAACCAGTGCAAACTCCATGAATATCTTTCATTTCTCTAGAAGGAGGTGTGGATTTGCAAGGCTACCAGCTGGATATGCAAATACTACCTGACGGCCCAAAGAGTGATGTGGACTTTTCAGAGATTCTTAATGCAATACAAGAAAGTAAGTTTCACTCAAATTTTAAAAATTCTCCATGAGTGGAGAACTCTCAGAATATTTGGGAGGGATACGAGAACTGGAAACCTTGGATGCCAAGCTGTAAAAATAATAATAAAATGATACCTTAAAATAGATACCATGCAAAATAATTTTGACACCACAAGAGAGAGTTTAATTTTTGAAACTAAACCATACAACAATTTGAAGAAGCTATAGTATATTATAATATTTAGTAAACCTCAGAGTATGATAATATTTTTGGATTTCTTCATTAATCATAATTTCCAAAAGAGCCTTTAGAAAACAAAATACAATCACTTTGCTCAAATGTAAGGAGTCAGAAGGAAATGCTGGTGCAGTAAGCTGAAATCGGAAACTTATTCTCCAAAGTGAGTATCTGGGGTCATTTATCATGGACTGTGTGCCAGAAGTAATCCCTTTTTTCTGAGCATTTTGATTAACCAAGATTTGCTCTTCTTAGACTATTTTATTTGTGGTTTAAATATTCCCTCAGAATTTTATCAGAATGAACTTGTTTACTCTATAATCTGTTATAGATTTAGCACTGGGGATGACTGACGTGGTATCATAATGCTAAGTCCTCACTGTTCCCGTTTGATGACCAGGGCTCTAATTCTACATGGCAACACTTCCTTTTTAAAAATTAAATAGTGTGGGCTCGGCACCTATAGCTCAAGTGGCTAAGGCACCAGCCACATACACTAGAGCTGGCGGGTTCGAATCCAGTTTGGGCCTGCCAAACAACAGTGACAACTACAACCAAAAAAATGGCCAGGCACTGTGGCAGGTGCCTATAGTCCCGGCTACTTGGGAGGCTGAGGCAAGAGGATCGCTTAAGCCCAGGAGGTGGAGGTTGCTGTGAGCTGTGATGCCACAGCACTCTACCCAGGGCGACAGCTTGAGGCTATCTCAAAAAAAAAAAAAAATAGTGTTCTACAATGTTGGATTTAGGAGGTTTAGATATGGTTTTTATAAAAAACCACTGGATATTTTTTCTACATTTAGTCTTGAGACATTTCTGTACTAATTGTCTGCTGACTAATTTTAAGCATTTTTATAGTAGTTATTACCATTTATCATTATACTATCCTGTTGACATTATGAGGCAATTAATATCTTCACCTTCCAGAAGGGACAACTGAGGGTGGGAAAAATTAAGTGACAAGGTAACATGGTAATAACGGAGGTCAGGCTGGAATGAGGCTGTCTGTTCCTTCATTCAGTTCCCCTAGGAATGTGCTCCACGCTGGCTTTGAACATACTTGAAGTGAGGACCCTGAAACTGAAGATGAAACTACTTTTGAAATATTTTTATGAAGATTTTTTTTCTGGTTGAGCAATCCCTTTGTATTAGATTAATGAATAAAAGAGAAAACTTTTCCCTAGGAGAATAAAAATCAAATTAGTAGACACTGGAGAGAAAATAACTTTTCATGGAAAGTTATAAAGTTATGTAATTACTTGGTTTGATTTAAAAGATAGGTTGTACAGTGCTCAAAGTGCCAGAATTTTTCAATACATGATAAAACTGGCTTCTCTGAAAGTGCTAGAGATAAACTTAATTTTTTTTAGAACTAAATGAATTACATCAAAATGGACTAAAGATTTATAAGGGACTATTTTTATACTAATTTTTATTAGATCTTAGTAAAGACACATTTATTTGAATATGATATTAACTGTTGCATAGTTTAGAATGGTGGCCTCTTTGTAAATAGGTAGAGGAATATAAATTTACATGTATTTAATATTTAAATTTAAAATAAACAAAAAAGAGGGCGGCACCTGTGGCTCAGTGAGTAGGGCACCGGCCCCATATGCCGAGGGTGGCGGGTTTGAATCCAGCCCCAAGCCAGCTAAAACATCAGTGGCAACTGCAACAAAAAATAAACAGGCATTGTGGCAGGTGCCTGTAGTCCCAGCTACTTAGGAGGCTGAGGCAAGAGAATCGCTAAAGCCCAAGAGTTGGAGGTTGCTGTGAGCTGTGATTTCACAGCACTCTACCAAGGGATAGAGTGAGATTCTGTATCAAATAAAATAAAATGGAAAAAGAAATATTACTTGACTTTAAAATGCAATTCAAACTCTTTATAGGTTTAGGAGTTTTCTAGTGCTTTGGAAGTAATTTACTTACTTTCTTGTTGAAAACAAGGTTTGTACCACATAGATTTGGAAAGCTGCTTTCACCATTTGGATCATTTCTGGAAGGAAATATTGGGACCAAATATGATTCAGATGTTTATCTAGTTCACTGAAATTTCAATCATAAAAATTTGTATATTGCTGCTTTAGGAAAGTGTACCTTAGATTATTGTTTGTAGAAAGTTTTGAGAGACTAACATGTAATGATGTAAAGAATATAACATTCTGAGCAGTATTACAACTCCTTTCTTACAGATATTTTTGTTGGTATTAGCTGGATGATAGAAAAACTTCACTGTTTTCTTCAAATTTTGTATCCCTGTTGTTTTATAGATACATAATCCTCAAGATCAAGCTACAAGTGTGTGTGTGTTTCAAATATTTCCTAAGTGTCTGGGTAGGTCTGCCATATGGTCGGTGTGTTCTCATACTTTCTTTTTTTATTCTTAAAATAACCCTAAGTAATAGTAGCTACAATTTTCTCTATTTTAAAAGTGGAAAAACTGAATATAACTCCTCAAGGCTAGATGCCTAATAAATAATAGAGTCAATATTTAATTCTTGGTTTTGCTAAATAGAGAAATAAATAAAAATGATCAGGAAAAATGAACTACTTTGGATTTTAAAAATTTATTATGTTTCTGCACCTGCCATGGCGTCACAGCTCACAGCAACATCAAACTCTTGGGCTTAAGCCATTCTCTTGCCTCAGCCTCCCAAGTAGCTGGGACTACAGGTGCCTGTCACAATGCCCAGCCATTTTTGTTGTTGTTGCTGTTGTCATTGTTGTTTAGCAGGCCCGGCTGGGTTTGAACCCGTCAGCTCTGGTACATGTGAGTCAGGTATATGTGTGTTACGTATGTGAACATTTATTATGTTAGCTCAACACTATGAAATATGTCATTCAAAGGTTACACCACATTCTTTAATTCTTGCCTTATGTCATTACCAACGCCCAGACCTTTCTAGAGACCATTCATGCTGCACCCCCAGCCTTTGTCACCCACCTCTCTAGTTTTGTTCTTAGTTTTTCTCTTACTGATTCCCAGGAGATACAGATGGCAGGGATTCTTACGTGGCCTTCAAATCCCGGAAGGCATTATTGTGTCATGTTCCATTAGGTTCTAACGATGGGGAAAGGGGCAAAAGATAGAGTTTGAAACCAGAACTTGAGAGTTAAAGGATTGTTGGCTCCTTGTCTTCCGTGTTCTGACCCATTGTGCTTGCACCTGGGCCCACATAATCACATAGCAGTTCCTACAGTGGGGGGAGAGGGTCTATGCTTCTGTGGCTGAGTCATTCCTCAGTGACATCCAATGAGTCATTCTGAATCTAATTTTTTGAGCTCTGATTTCCAATTTTATTTTTAACCTGTGTGGTCATGCAGTTTCAGAGGGGAAGATGGTGACATGGCCTGTTGGTGGGAGTGGAGAGGATGGGGCACACCTCGAGCATGTGATCTTGTCTGGAAACTTATGGTCAACCTTTTACCTGTGTTATGTTATTGAGTCCTAAACCCTCTTTCCTGCAATTTGCACATCTGTACAAGGGATTGAGATGGCAAATCTCTGTAATGCCCATGCCTAGAGCCTGGTACGTGGTAAGGACCGTGTACATTTGGTTGTCACCTTCATTTTCATTCCTCGTAACAGTCTATTGGGGAGATGGTATTATCCCAACTTCAAAAAATGAACTTGAGTAAGTTAAAAACCCAATGTAATAGCTAATGCATGGATGGGCTAGCACTTGAATGCAGGTGTGTGTGACTCCAAAGCTCATGTCCTTCCCAAAGATGGTGAAGTCATGATCCATAGACTTTGAGGATCTTTTAATGCAGAACATCACTGACCTCATTTCACATTGTGAAAAGGTAGCCACAGCTAATGAACAAAGTGTGAGTCCACAGTCCTTCTCTAAATATCATTCCCAGGATTGTAAGAGGAGATGCCATCACTGTCTGCTGTGTTACAGAAGTAACTAAGGGGTAACTTTTCTTTAGAATGAAGTTGTAGTAAGAACAGTTCTTCACAGGCAACACGCTAGACCGGTAGCAAGTGTATGATCTCAGCCCCATTGCAGGGTGTCCTGGGGTGCGGGCAGTGCTACTGTGCTCTTTTGTACACATCCCCATTATTGAGCCAGGAAATGGCAATGAAATTATTTTTTTAAACCATCATACATTAAAAAAAAAAATCTCATGACTTTTAGTTTATTTGTTTGCAAAGGCATATTTTAAAGCTCAGAGCATTTCGAGTAACTTTCCATAGCAGAAGGAAAGTGCCTCCTGTCACATCTGTAACAATTAGAACCTTGGGTTTTCTTTAGGGAGATGTTAACAGAACCATTTAATTATTGTCAAAACACCCTAGCAGAAGTCTCTAAACTTTATTTAAAGCAGTAGAATCTGTTCTTCACACCCCCAAATAAATTAGCTCCATTTATTTTGAAGGTATGTATTTTCAACACATAACCTCAATATATAGAACAGAGAAACTGAGCTGTTTGGTATGGTTGGGGGTAGAAGGTGGACTTGGCCCACTCACTTTCTTCTTTGTTTCCTTCATGGCCCTTAAGCTCCCGAAAAGGATCCTGAGGTTCTGGGGAACAGACTTCGAAAACTGCTGGCCTATTAGAAAGGAATAAAGCCAGCTCAGGGAACGTTTATGTCCTTTCCAATTACTTTATTTATTTGTTTTGAGTTCTTTAAATTAGTCCCTATTTTTTCCTTATTGGTAAACCATGCAGTCTCTGCCTTAGGGACATTGTCAGATGCATTTGAAGAGCAATGAACATCTAGAGTACCCCGGGCTTGCTAGTGTTATATAAATGCTAAATAGTGT